TATAACAAAATGTATTTTTCCTAGTTGATGGATTAAAAAATAACAAAAAAGTTAAATGATGAAAATTATGCAAAACATTAAAGTTGAGGACCAAAAATGAAATTTGCCCTTTTTAAAGTTAAATTGATTTGTACCAATCAATTTTCGGTGTACTGGCCAGCACGCAAAATATTGGTCAGTACACCAAAATTTGACCAAAATAGACGAAATTTGACTTAAAATGAAATTGAATCTTATACCATTTCGAATTAATGAAAAAATCAATATGTACCGACCATATTAGTCCATACGAAACGAAATTAACTACTTTAAATAGTGATAATAATTGGTTAAAAAATATAAAACTAGTGACAATTATTGATTAAGGCAATAATGCAAAGAGATAATGGTTTTTTTCTTTTCATCTAAACTATTCTTGTCTAATATGAAAAAATACCATAATACAACTCTTAATCATTCAAGATATAAAAGAGATTTATTAAGTATATTTTAATATTTTAATCACTTTTTGGCATCGTTCTTACTTGAAAACCATTTTTTGTTCTACAATTAAGGGTGGATTTAACCCCAATTTTAAATAAAAAATTGGGGGTAGGTTTCCACTTTGAGGAGGGGAAATGAGGTTTAAGGTAGTTAAATCCAAGTCGAGTGGGTGGAATGGAATACAAATTAACCTAGGCTAGGAGTCAGAGTTTGATTAAGAAAGGTTAAATGCTAATTTTGGTCTCTCAACTTTAAGATTCTGTATAATTTTTATCTCTTAATTTTATTTTACTTTTCCGATCCCTTAACTATGAAAAATGTATTTTTTTAATCTTTTGTGAATTAATTCATTAAATTTATCTAAATCTGTACATTTTTCATCCCCAACTTAAAGTTGAGGGACTAAAAATGTGCGTCTATTAGAAATTAAGGGATTAAAAATGTGCATATTCAAGTAGACTTAATGGATTAATTGATGAAAGAACTAAAAAAAGTGCAAAAAAAAGTTAAGGGATGAAAATTGTGCAAAACCTTAAGTTGAGGGACCAAATTTGGCATTTAACCTTAAGAGAAATAAGAAAATGGGCTTTAAATCTCTAACGTTGGGCCTTATAAGAAGGCTCTCAAAGAGCAGCTAACAGTAGGCCCAAAAAAAGCAGCTAAGCCTAAGACTAAGAAAATGTAAGATGGGCCAAGGTTTTAAACATATCAAACTAACCAAATTGCTACCTCTTTCCTCTTTTCTATTCTAGATGATCAGACTCAAGAGAACGAGTCCTTTTTCCACTTCCTCTCATTAAATTTAAGAAATAAAAGGGAAAAACGTGGGGGTGAAAAAACAATTTCTGTTGGGTTCTTAATATGTAGCGCTGCAAATGAATTGAGCTTTAACTGGAAGACTCAAGTTTGATTATGATATTGCGTATATAGCTAGCCCACAAGCTAGATCTTCTTCTTCTTCTTCTTTCCTCTCTCATTTTTTTTTTAAAAATAACATGGGTATTCAAGTCTTTGCCCTAACTAATTTTGTTGGGAAGATACCTTTGACCACAAATGAGAACACACAAGAAATACTAAGTTATAAGTATACATGAGTAAGTATAGAATATGCAAAGATACTATCTTAAACTTAAAATGTTAACTTATTAAGTTCATGAGTTTCCACATTAATTTTGCTCCTTTCTAATGTAGGAATTTATTCACAACTCCATCACCATTCACCATGTGAACAAACTCAACAATATCCACCCCCCCCCC